AATCCAACTCACTACCCAAACAAATGTCTGGCGCAAACGTACGCCTCCGCAGAACCCTCTCAAGATCGGATGCTGGAACGTGCACACCGTATGGGAACGAAATACGAATGAGTGCCCCGAGCGACGCACTGTAGTGGCTGCCATAGAACACGATCACTACAGCATCGATGTTGGTTCACTTAGTGAAGCTCAGCTCGTAGAACAAGGCAACCTGCAGGAGGATGGTGTTGGTTACAAAATCCACCAGGTAGGAAACGCCATCATGGCACCCGGTGAATATGGGGTGGGATCCGCACTATCCAACCACCTAAATGGCCAGTGATAAGAGAGCCGAATGACGTCAGACCAAAGTTGATGACATTCCGTCAACATTTATTAGCACGTATGGTGCAATTTGTTTTATCCCGATACGAAGGATCAGTTTTAATCTCAGTTGTTCTCCGTGTCCGTGCCCGTGCAGATGAGCGATCAGATATTCCTACTGGGTGATGTCAACGTGCGCGTTGGGCGTGATACCGCGGAGTAAACAGGTGTAATCAGGCCGCTAGCATTGCCCTGACCAATGAGAATGGTGACCGAATGCTCTCACTGTGCGCCACTCACAGGTTGGCGATCAAAAACACACAGCTCACACCGTGTGCCAGTGATATAGCTACCTGGACGCACACGCGGAGTGGTCACGCTCCCCTACTCGATTATGTCATCGTACGTCAGCGTGAAGTGCGCATGACGCCTGTTCTGCGTGGAGCTGAGTGTGTCTCTGATCAAAAATCGGTGCGCACCAAAGTATACATGTACTTTTGTGGATCCACATATTGCTCGCCTGTCGTGAATCAGCGCAAAATGAACGTTTTTTCCCTAGGCAATATTGTGAAGAGGATGGACATGGAGGCGATGGCTACCTGCCTTGGTGGTGTCGAGTCCATTGCCTCAGTGAGCGAACTGTGGCACCACATCAAAGAAGATGTGACGGTTTCGGCGGAGTAAATGATCGGAAGCGCAAACCGTAAGCGCCCCGATTGATTTGACAATAACAGTGAGACCATTGTCGCATTGGTGTCAGAGAAAAATGCAGTTTTGTCGCGTATGAGGAAGACCTTTACAGTTAAGAGAAAAGTAGGTTTAACAAATTGCGTATTGACGTTTTGATTCGTCCTCCGAGCTGAGTAATTTAATGACAAACGTTTCACCACTTCCCTCAGTGGCATCTTCAGTGCACTGCTCGGTAGAGGAAAATCCCACGGAAAGTGTCGTCGGGAAGTAGCGTTTGAAATTGGCCTCGTCGACCTGTGTCCCGTGACCACTGTTTGTTCGATATTTGGCCAAAGTACTCAACTCGGAGAACGAATCAAAACGTTAACTACCGACCCGAGGTATTGCGAAACTGCGTATTGGTTTGACCAGGGAGTCCCGTCGCGCTAAAAATGCGTTGTGGGCAGAGAAGAGTGGGCAGATGAATTACTACGCCAAAAACCACCAACATCTGGAGTGCTTTGATTTTATGGAGGCAATGTATGGATTTACATTGTAGTCGCTAGTGGACGGCTTTGAGTGCTGCCGGCAGACATCATGCACGAATGGCGAGAGCACTTTGACTGCCCCTTGAACACAGTTCAGAGATTGACTAGAATATGCAGAACAGTCTAGCCGACACGCTGACACTCCATGAGACGCAGAGATCACGTGCTTAGCTGCGAAACGGTAAGTGCGCCGGAGCCGACCGTATATCATCAAACTGCTGAAAATGGTGGAACCGCATTTCTTATCATCATCGTCATTGTCATAACACGCTAGCTAGGGGTGAGAAACATACTCAAAATATTGTGCCACAAAGATAAGCCGAAAAAATAAGCAACACGAAAAAGTGAGATACCAAACACAGAGTACAAAAACTGAAAAACAAGTAAAATAATGCCAAGTATCATACTACGCATGCGGGTGTGAGATTGTGATGGGAGGAGAAGGGGAGGGACAAAGAACTAACATAAAGCCATTGAGGTCGTCTCTTCGCCATGTCAACAAGTGTACACAACCAAACGTGTTCATCGTCCTTAGGACCCCAGCCCCGAAGTCGGGAGACACGAACAGAGACCAAGTTCGAAGGTTTTCAAACCTTTTCACCGAGCCATCGTTTGACCTCCCTTCTCATCGTCAGACCCCAATTGCGCAAACATGCGTTTCAGCACTTGGTGGAACGCGTGTGGTTTGAAAAACAGGTATCAACTGAGTTGAAAATTAAATAGGTGCTACCAAAGTGCAGAGACAAAGCAATGAGCAAGCCATGTGCTCACAATTATCCTGGATCAAGTTGATAAGTTGCGTCGAAAAGGTGATAGTACGAATCTCGCTCAATCGCTTCGTCACTCAGCTCTTGGAAGCAAACGTGCTTGAACAGCAATGCGGACTCCGTTCGGGCAGCAGCACCAGATCTATGGTGTTCGCGATTAGTCAATTGCAGAAGGGCTGTGAGCGACACCAATCGTTGTACTCGCTGTTCGAAGACTTCATCAAGACATTTGACAGGGTGAACTGCGAGGCACTGTGCCTGGTGTTGGTTGCCCAGCTAAGTTTGTAAGCCAAACTGAATACCTGCATAGCGGTTTGCGGGTGAGGGTGCAGCAATGTGGATAAACCTCGAATAACCTTGATGTTGTCTCTGGTGTGAACCAAGGCTGTGTCTTAGACCCTGCCCCAGTTAAAAAGTTACCTAACTGTTATGATGTCCTTGCTTTCGATGCATGTGATTGCGGTGTCCGTCTCGAGCACCGACTATGAGAGACAAGCATCCATATGTTGTTGGTTGCTGACGACTGTGCGTTGTTTACACCCAGCGCGGATGAGTTGTGACGTATAAGGACAGCTCTCGCTTCCGCGGTAGCCAAGACTGTTTGTCTTTATCAGCCGTCACTAGGAATAGATCCCGTGGGTTGCCCGAAAAACAAGATTTTTGATGTTTTGAAGACCTCAACGAAAATTTCAGACCTCAGGAGTATCGTGTAAACGAACAAGCAGATGATCAGGAAGCTGCGCATCCGCGTATTGAAGACATGCGCGGCGTTCGGCAAGCTGGGACATCAGGTGCGGAGAAACCATCAACTGACTTTTAGAAAGACGCTTATGGTAAGCTAAAGAAAAGTGTTGGTGGTTCACTTATACGGCAGCGAAACACGGACGTTCTAAAAGAAGTATGTCCATTTTTGAACCGATTCCACCAACAATGCCTGCTTCACATTCCGCGAAGCCGTTACTGCGACAGAGTTCCTGATATGAAAGTAATCCACCGGAGCAACATGTATGGATTGGACTGCATACTTCTGCTGCTACACCTGAGGTGGATCGGACATGCCCAACGTATGGATGAGACCAGGAGATAAAAGCTCCTAAGGTATGCCCAACTGTGCACCAGGAAGAGAAGAGTAGACAAACGAAGTTACGCTATCAGAACATGTCAAGGTTGAGTTTAGGAGTTGGGGAGCAATGACAATGGGACACCGCCAATGGTGTGATGACATCAAGAATGCTGCTGTCCAGGTGCACCAGAAAAAAACTGCTGCATCGAGAAGTGCCGGCTACAGAAGCGACAGGCGTCGATCAGCCCCGACCCATCGACCACATGTACCTGGTGTTGTAGCACATGTGGTCGTGTGTGCTCGTCAGTCATCGACGTGGCCACGAGGTGCTAATGTCGAAGGGGCGACAGGTAAGTTGATTGGGTAAGTGCTGGCTCACGGTAAGTACGCTACATCCGGCATCATTTACAAACCCAGGGCCAATAATGCGGCCAATGTGGCACACGCACTGCACCGTCAATGCAGTTGGTCTGTTCGTGTGCCTGTGTGTTTGTGTTGCTGCATGTTTGATGGCCCTTGCCGGTTGGTGTCCCAGATCCGTGTGTGTTGATACCAAGGTTGACAAGGTAGGCACCTGTCGAAAACCACCAGGTGGATCACATAAACGTCAGCAACGAGCCGGCACGCCGTACCGACGCTTCGTTGTCACGCGGCCACCACTAGTCGCGCGCTGACTAAATACTGTGTCACCCACACCTACGCATATCAGAACCGGTGATATTCAGATCACAAAGTAAACATTAACCTTTGGGAATGAATGAATCGTCCGCTGTACACCGTAACGGCGTTTCGCTGCCGCGCCATCATAAGTCGCGCGTAGGCTGTGTATACCAAGAGGACGTCCGCCCAACGCGGATTCAAACCGGCAACCTTATGATTGCAAGCCAGGCGTGCAGACCACTCGGCCGCCAGCCGAACTTCAATTACTGGCTAGTAACATTGAGTACTGGTTCCAAGAGACTGCTATCCATATTCCCCCGGGTCTTATTCCTTCAGGTTTATATTTATCATGGAGTGTGTGAATGGAACTGTGGGTAATGCAGCGTAAGCCACACACGGTCCCCCTCTAGGCACAGTTGCTGCTTGCGGTCACAATGAAAGGAAAATCCGGGAGCGCATGCTGTCGATCCCATCTAGAAAATTCTCAATTATGTCATATAACTCAACGAGTAAGAATTCTCAGAGGTTTTGGATAACTCATTGTGTGGCATGCGAGCGCAGTTTGAACTCTTCAGTTTGGGAATATATTCGATAATTTCGAGCACCATCCTACAATGATGAGGGCTTTCGTGCTATTCGAATCGCAGCCCAAATGGGGATGGTATGTTGCAATGCAAGAGCATAAACATTACTTCGAAAGTGAAGCAAAAAAGAGAATCCAGTGATTTTGAAAAGTGTAGTGAGCAATGCGAACTGGGGTTGTATAACATCGAGTGATGGAAAAAAGGAAAATTGTGTGATGTTTGAATGAATATTCGTTCCTCACCTTAACTTGAGAGGGAGCAAACTCAGACACAAAGCCATAACGAAACCGTGGAGTGCTGGAACACTGGGATTAAAAGCGGCAGATCCCAGAAACGAGTGTTCGATTTAATAGAGCCGGACATAAGACGACAATGAGCAAAGCGACGTGGTGCGTCAAGCACTAACCTGTCGGTAATCGATGAATCTTTTCTTCCAGCTGCATGTACTCCGATGTGCGAAATCGAGAAGCAAAGCCATAATTGAATGGGACGTCCTGTCTGCTGAACAAAACGGGTGGCAAAAATAGTGGCACGTCTCGAGCCAAATGGGTGTCTAAAACAGTGGTTGGCTCGCGAACAATCAGGTCGTTGTAAAACACTCGGTATTGATCAAGGCGCTCAGGCGATGACGGATCAGTGGTGCCGACGCGCTCGTATGGACCGAATTGGAAATCAACTAGACCTTTTAAAAAATGCAAACCGAAGGTGAGTGCAACCAGGCTAAATTGTCGTCACCATCAATGTGTTGAAATTGGAACTTCCAAATAAGCCAGAAACAAATCAAGTCAAGATAGGCTTTATGTACCCGACCGGGAGACAAGCATATCTGTAACTGATAAATATATATTTGGATCGTCTGCAGTGGATTGTGACGAGTTGCGACAAAGCGAAGCGAAGTAACACAGTTCTCAGCCTCCGAAATACAACGTTAGCTTCATATTATAGACGTAAAGGCAAACACAATGTAGGAGGGGTGGAAGGTAAAGACAGCCTTCCTTCAAGCATATGACCCAGGATGTGTACCAGCGAGCGGACAGTCCATCGCTTATAGCTTTTATGTGTGACAGATATTTTACTCAAAAATACTTCGAAACTCGAAGTGGAGGGCGAGAAAATCAAAAAGCCACCGGGATAACGCAAAGCGTAAACCAGTGACCGTGTTAACTAATAGTATTCATGGCACTTATCAGGAATGCAACCAGGTCAATAGAGGATGGCAGGGACAATACACGTTCTGTGCCCCATGATTTTGAGACGTAGCATAATAATCAACGTTTCAACCCAATGACCACAGGTTTGATTGTTACAATTACCGCACAGGAGATCAGGTTCAGATACATTGTGAATTCGTGGAGGAAAGTTATGAGGAAATCAGGTACACACACACATGGACTGTGCAACACTGTATGCGATGCCGATGTGAAGTTGTAGGACAGCGTGATGAGAGGCAAACAGTTGGATAAACCTCACGATGAGAACAGCACTAGATTCCGTGACACAAGAGCGGTGTAAGCGGATACCAAGAAGTTGTGGTCTTTCGAAGCATAGGACATGAATCGAAACAAAAGTCTTTCGCCCCTTTTACTCGCATTTCTGAGAAATAAAAGCATGCTCGGAAGGCAACGCAGCCCGATAGAAAGTGACTTCTGACAATGCACCGAAGCGAGTTTAAGGGTAGTGAGTAGGACTAAATCGTACTCAAGTTGTGTGTTGCGATAATCCAGCGGTTTCCCATTTTGCGTTAGCAACATCCTAAATCTATGTCACTTATTGTCGTTTCCCAGTATCGTGAGGAAGAGATGTATCACAGGAAGTGAAGACTAGAATGACCGAAAAAAGTTTTCAATCTTAATTCATCAACTATTATTCGTTGGAATAGTGTCAGTCTTCATTTTCGATTCACAGTTTGAGTATGTCCGTAAGCAATTCCATCAGCTTTGATGAAGGACGACGTGGATGTTTAAACGTCCGCTTTAGCGAGCCAACTTTTTACAGTCGGAAGTGGGAATTTTTAACTGTCTTTATTTGGTCCCAATTCCATTGGGATAAGGGAATGACACCCGAGTTTCAGTTCGACCTACCCACGCGTTGGCTTGAAGTTGCAACCAGTACTGAGCTGTGATCGAATCCCACCCCACTAGTACCGAGAACTATCGCGTTCTTTGTAACTCGTTTAACTGTTCAGCAGATAAGATCGAAAAACTCAAATCAACACTATTCAATGGATTTATCAATTTCCCCCAATGAAAACTTGTCAACCCAATGCGAGCACCTCATAGACTACATAAACCCCTGTTTTGATGTGTTTTGTGGCATTGGGACAATCCATATGGGAAATGTCAGATTTTCATCTCAACTGCTAAAGCAATTGCGGAGAAAAACAGGCTAACAAACTTAAGCTAACCGCTCGTATTAAACGTATGTCCTTGGTTATAAAAAAGGAAAAAAGGTTAAACGCTGTACATTCAGACCGTTTTAGGCAACCAGAATAGTCGTGATCTATGGAAGCTTCTAGGACGACTCTCTGCAAAGCCTTCCTTCAGAACACTCAGCACAGACTATGTAGATAAATTCAACGGTGAGTTCCGCTCCGTATCACCAAACACACGCCCTGTCTGGTTATATCACTGCTGAGCCTCCCACTTTATGTGATTCTACAAGTATTTACAAGGACCCCACAAGAATGAAGTCAAAACAAGGCGAGGGGTGCTGGCATGTGCAACACGTGGCCCAGCCATCGTAGCCTGGTGTGTGATATACTGGTGCAGAGCGGATCACTCCCTCTGCCTGCACTAAATACGCGACGCAGAATACATTCGTTGCTCACGCGGTACTCCCACCAGGCATGAGCTAAGTTGCGAAGGCAACGACGGTCGAACATGACTAGCCTCTTTATGTCTGTCAACCTGATGGGTCAGGTTCCACAACCGTATAAGAGAGTTGAACGGACGGCTACATTACAAACTCTGTATTTCACGGCTAGAGTGATGTCGCGTCGGCGTCATAAGTGGCGGCAATTGGCAAAAGCAGCTTGTGCTTTTGCTATACGGTTCGTAACCTTACCTGCCATTCCACGGACGCTAAGATATCTGTAAATGTACATGAATTCCTGAAGGACTTCTAGCTGATCACCACCAAGGGTCAGCGCAGGTGCAGGTCCCTGCTAATGTTGGAGAAAGACATTGCATTTCGACGGAGCAAAGCATAGCCCAAAACGTTTGACAGCCAGTGCTAATCGGTCCAGTGCTGCTGGTCACGTTTGTGAGTTGTCAGAGATAATGGCAATGTCATCCGCATACTTCAAGTCAAGAAGTCGCTCATCAGGAAGTATCTTCACACCTATGCCTTTTCGAGTGAACGCTGCTTCCATGACTTCGCCAGTGGTGAAGTTATAGAGTAAAAGTGACAGTGGGCAACCTTGTCTCGCACTGCTGGAAATATTGAAGGGCGTCGACAGTTTACCATAAACCCTCACCCTGCCCGAACTATGCGCGTACAGCGCTCTGATAATGTTTACATATTTAGTGGGAACACTTTTTCTTAGCAGGCAGTCCCAAGAGGTACATCGATCGACTGAGTGGATAGGCACATTTTGTGTCAAGAAACACGACAACGGTGGGTCGCCAATAAACATAGCGGTGCTGCAACAATTGACGCGAATTGACAATGTGATCGATGCAGTCCCGACCTCGACGAAACCCAGTTTGCACTTCACGAATCTAAGTTTCACGAGTGCCATTCAGTCCATGGAGAACGACAAACGCAAGAAAGTAAGTGGTAATTGAGATCAGACCGATCCTACCAAGATTGACGCATTCCGAATGGAAGCCTCAATTGAAAATTAAAACTATTACGGAGCGGCTCCACTCTGTGGAGACAGTATCCTGCTCCTAAAGTTGCACTAGTAATTCGTGTAAATCATTTGTAAGAGCAGGTTCCCCGAATTTGAAGGGGACTGAGTGAATTCTATCTGCGCCTGCGACCTCATGCAATTGCAACAGTCTGATATCACGTTCGATTTCTGTGCGTGAGGGCGGATCCAAGACAGCCCAGGGAGAAGGGACTCAATGCAAGAAAAAGAAAGTGATAACTAGATTAGTTAAACTGTCCTGGAAATGGTTCGGCCCAACGCTCTAAGCGTTTTGACAAGCTAAGGATCGACTATCCACTCATATCGCTAACAACAGGTCTCCTGCTGCGTGTTATCCCTATCAGACAGAATAACAGGATGATTACCAACGGCAGCGGTTATTCCTATTTCCGATGCACGATGAGAACACCAGGCTTCGCGGTCTTTCTTCAGACTAGCACACAGTTTGTCAAGACGTCTTTGCGGGTCTCGTTGTATTCGGTTCGGTGGCAATCTGATTTGCCACATGTAAAGATGTCTGCCAATAGTAACTTCTGAAGAATAGGTAACCAGTGATCTTCAACGCTGTTCAGTGGGCACTTACTCAGCACAAGATGCTAGCGTATTTTAATATGTATTCAGAACACTTGGTATCGCCAGTTGGCTGGTGTCAATGCGCTCACTGCGACGTTGCAGAGATCCGCCGAAACCCACCCGAAAGTTAGCACACACAGGAGCGTGATCGGAGTCCAAGCTCGTACTCCAAATCGAGCGACAGTTTTGGACGCAGCCTCGCCAACGGTAACTGATCGCGATGTGATCGAGTAGCGTCCATGGCTGGTGGGCGCTAAGTCACTATTCTGCGAGTTCTGTGTCCAATGTTAATGCTCCCAAGAAAGAGACGAGCATCTTCACACAGACCTCGCAACCGCTCATCGTTATCATTACGGGAGCCTACATCATTTAGACCACCCAGATGAAGTTCCTCAGAGGACAATTTTCCGACTTGCGCGTTCAGATCACCAGCAAGCACAACGGTATCCAAACATTTTCTGCAATGAAGCAGCTCGTTAGGTTGGTGATAGAAAGCATCCTTCACCGAATCACTGCTGCAGTTGTCGGTGGCGTAGGCCGCAATGACACAGGCACTGTTTGTCCCCATGCGATTTCGAAGCCTGGAAAGAATCAGCCAATCTAACGGCGCACAACCGGCTGTTGGTTAGGATCCAATCGATCAGGGCAGCTTGAGCCCAGGGACTCAATGCTGATGCCAGCTGGACCAGCATTTGAAGGTGCGTCATAGCTAGACAGGCGCAATGAGAATGTGACGTCAGTGTCGCATGTGGAGGAACGGAGTACATGGTTGTGAACGAGGTACCAGTAAGAGCGATGGATCCTTCTGGCATATTGTATCTGAGATTTGTCTGCTAAAAACCCTCACAGACCAGCTTCCACTCCATTTATTCAGTGATGACAGATCTTCCCGTATTTTTTGCATTCACTGCTTCCGGTGCTCAGGTTGAAATGAGTACACTAGTTCGATGTCGCTCAAAAATAAAACTGCGTGCCCGTGTCTAATGTAATCACATATATAGTTTATGTAAACAAGGAAAATTAGTGGACCCAATACACTCCCCTGAACGACAACAATAGCGACAATTCTGAGTGCAGAATAGTGTTGACTTAGCCGTACTCTTGGTGTTCAGTCGTTCAGATGGGAGTCGAAATAGCTCAACATAAAATTGCTGATCCCATAAGACACAAGCACGGCCAACATTGATACGTCGTAGGATGATGAAGATGGCCACGCTACCATCAAACGTTGTTGTAACATGATCAAGGAATTGTTACTGACATGTGATGGGAAAGTTTTGTAGTTACCCCGCGTTGTGAACTGCTGAGCAGGCTTTGTCAGTAACGTAGCTAAACGATTTGTGACGATACTTCTAAGGTCTTGACGGCAGCAGAAGTATGGTCTATCGGTCTATATATTGACATCCGATCTCGTGGACCGTCACAGTGTGTCGGCATAACAGAGGAATTTTTCCGATGAAGCGGGAGCAACCAGTGTTTAGTGACAGTGCAGAAATGTCCAACATGAGGAGGGATACGTTTTCGCCACCTAACCTTACTGCTACTGGAGGAATACCATCAGGTCACGTTTGGAATGTCTGTACTTTAAACTCAAGGGGATGCAGTACTGAACGAGACAGGAATCATCATTATAGTAATAACCATAATCATTAGATAAGCTATTTGAAGTAATGCGTCGCTACATACGGAACAAATAATTATAAGGAAAGAAGTGGAACCGGAAAACAGTACTTTCCTAAGCAAACATTCAGGGTCAAGACGCCTAGACCTTGTCAACAAAATACAATCACAAACAGTAGCCTATAATGCAAAGACAAGGTGGCATCAGCGAAAAAGGTTCCTGGCGGCATTCACTGCCCTAGATCATAACCAGCCACTACTCCGCAGATAATTCAGCACCACACTTTAAACAAGCGGTCCGACTGGGAGGCGGCAGCAGACGTGCCACAAATGTCGACTGAGAGCTATGTCCTATGAAGTCGCCAGCCAAGCACAAAGAGGGCCACGTGCACTCCAGTCTGGAAGGCGAGATCGACCAACAGCGCAAAGTCTTGTAGTCAGTGAATTTAACTCTCTCTGCCAAGTTACCTTTTGCTCACCACAGGCCTTGCGCCATCCTACATTTGGCGAGGATCGAGGGCCACAAAGTGAAACAGATGCACTAACTTTGTCCGCTTGGTTGAACATGGACTTGTGAACTGAACTGGAGCGAAGTCCTGCGATTGTGGGTGTGTTGAAACTAGGAGACAAGCGACTAAGAAAGCAAGGTGGGGGAGGGCCAAGAATTGGGGAGGTTGAAAACAGGGGGGATTAAAAGGAAGTTGGAGCAGGACACTAAGGATGAAAAAGCGTAAGAGGGGGAATAAAAAGAAGGGAAGGCCTGGACAGTAGCATCCAAAGCGCTATCCACTCCGCTCGATGCAGCCGATAAGGCGCCGTTTATTATTCTCTGCGACAGCCAGAGCATCAAGAGATTGTTTGAAGTCGCAAGGTTATATTGCGTGGGTAGGATACGGTCAGGTTGCCCAGGCCTAGACAGGAGAAAAATTAGGGTTTTCAACCTAAGGCTTTGGTTCAAAAATCCTATTAAAAGGCTACGGGGTTTTGGCACTGGACTACAAAGAGTCCGTTTTATAGATTAAAGAGCCACCTTCACTCCAACCCAAAATCTGGAGGGCCGAGATTGAGTTTGTCTGACTCTGAAGGTGTAGAAAGCACACAACCATCGCATCAGATTAAGGTCCAGTCTCGTTGCGATGGTTTAGTATTCTGTAGTACTTAGTAGCTGGTTTCTTCATGTATCTTTTCGTATTGCGGCACTATAGCCGAGGTGGGTTTCATACTTTCCGCTAACGTTAAAGGATGATGACAGTTGATAAGGCTAGATCACAGTTTACAGAGAGGAGACATCATACCGACCACCATGGGTAAAGAGACGAGGTAAACCGCTTTGGCTAGTTAGCATCAGTGATGATAGTGGCAAATATGAGCGCGAGGCGGAGGACGATCTGAGACATACCGGTGGAAATGTGGGTACGAAAAAGTCAGTACGCACTATCGAATTTATACATTCTCACCACACGGCCGATGACAGATGGAAGAAGTATGATTTCGTTGGTAAGCCGATTGCGGAATTTCCGAACGCGGAGGAGTAGAGCAGTCACTTTCGCCGAGTCACCACAAGCCGGTTTCGAGTAGACCATGTCAGGACGAAAGTTCAGCTTCAATCGACGCTTCTCAGACTCGAAGACCTAGCAAAAACAAGAGTAAAGTGGTATAGACGAGTGATTGTCGAGTTTTGGACAGGTACTTAGTAAGCAGCTCCAAGTGATTAGTTAAGGATAAAGTGTGCAATGAGGGTAAGATCGAACCAGCGACTAGAGGTACGATGTGGGATTATTGTTTGGCTTTACTGGTGCGCACCGAAACACGTGGCGCCATCATGACTGAAAGAAAACTAACTAGTAAGAAAGGTGAAGGAGGACAAAATGCGACAGAATTGGCAAACAGAGGTAGATCAGAAAATGTTACTATCGAATGAAGAGACAAGTAGCAAGAAAACGTATCAGCAGTACGCCACTACGCAGTATCGACGTTTCGCTGACGCGCAACCATCACCGGTCGCATGTGGGCTAAGGATACTGTGAGAGTCGTCCTGATCTTACGCAGGCTTGAACCTGAGTCGCAAGATTACAAGACAAGTTCCTTGGCACCTGATGTAGCCAAGAGTGTCAGTAGTTTGGCGACGGAATGATGCAGAGAAAGGTATCGAACTGTCGGCACAGCCTATTCGGATAATAGGCTAAATTGCAACAACGCACCACTTAACCTTTCTCACATAAAATTAGTTACTTGGTCCATTGGCATGTCCTGTGGCTAGGGAACGAAAGACAATACTCCGCGAGGTTTGTTTAGTGTATACCATAGCAACGTGACTTAACCTTAGCGTGGTGCGACGGTTCGCCTACCTTGACCTATTGTGCTATACTGGTTGGCGCTCCCGCGCCCCTTCAGAGCTACTCCTACCAGGTTCGTCAGCGGTTAGAGATCAGACAAACTCAGCCTGTTGGTCCTCCAGGTTAGAGGTTGGAAATGTGATGCCGTCAGTTTATGTAAAACTAAGTCATTGTCCATTCCCCGTTGTCTTGCGAACAGGCTTTTGAACCAAAGCCTTTGGTTGAGGACTCTAATCGTCTTCCCGTCAAGGTCTGGGGGCACTAGCAATATCTCAGCCCATATACAACCATGACCATTTCCCGAAACTACATCTTGAATCGGCCGTTGCGCAGATTAGCAAGGGTCGCCTAGCATGTTGTATACAGCAAGGCGGAGAAGCGAAAACATGCTACTGCTGGTGCCTTCCTTCATTCATGCTCACATGCTCTCTTACTCCCCTTCCAACCCCAATACTAAACTTCATTCTATGATCAGCAAGTTAATTGATAGCAACCGTAATGCCACTGGAGTCACAACATCCGCAGCTATATACCCGCACCACCCCCCGGACACTTATCGGCAAAAGCCACGCCGTCTCGTTTCCCTGGCGGCCTTCAATGTTCGCACTCTAAGATAAATACGTCAACAGGCCGCACTCGCATGCACGTAGGACACACTGGGCATTGAAGTGCATCACGTGTCGAAAACTAAGAACAATGGCCCCCACAAAGTTACTAAATTAACTGCGCCCGCTATCGATTGCACGCATCCGAAGACGCTGATGCAACAGCCATTGGTCAATCTGCGGTAAGAATCGTTCTCATCGTTGATTGACTGGATTTCCTTGAGCAGCCGTTTATATGCAGCCCGTTTGAGGATATCAACTAAGGTTGATGCACGAAGTAGTATAAGACGCAGTTTGTTTGTTTTCCGATTATGATTACACCGACTGCGGTTCTGATGCGGCCAAGGACACATTCTACCAGGAACTGAACACGCGGCTTCGTAGTGTTACCAGTTCAAATATCATAGTTCTTGCAGGGGAGATAAATGCGCAAACACGTCATCTGAGCTCTTCAGAATCTCTACTAGGTGGTGAGTATAGACTTAAGTCCGGTCGTATAGACGAATGCGAGCACCTGTTAAAGATGGGTGTAAAACAATAGCACAACATCGCTAAGATCAGTGATAGCTGATGGGGCTTTGGCAATATGGAGAGAAATCTCTATTCCGATAGTGCTACGAGAAGAAACGCGGCTCCCAATGTAGATGTAGCTATCTACTTGTTCAAGCTACACGCCTTCAAGAATCAACACGGGGGCAGGTGAATACCAATCTTGGAGTAGGACCTTCCATTTCGATGGAACGAAGGTCATGTCATACTTGGAAACTTCAATCACCAAGCATGCATGATCTGAAGGTCGTCACCAAGCAAGGCATTATTATTAACATAGTCCAAGTCAGTAGCGCTGTTGCCTGGAAGAAGTCCTATGCCAGAACCCTGGAGACCTTTCAGAGCGCTTAATAAGACATTCTCAATCACAATGAAGAAAAACGGGGATATGAGGTATCCCTGTCGCACACCGGGAGTGATGGTGAAATATGAAGAGAGCTGACCATAAGTTCTCAATCCGCCAGATAATGTTGTATAAAGTACGAAGTATGGCTATAAACTTTTCGGATACCCCAATCGTTTGCAGATAAGGTCATAGAGCAAGCCGATCGATCGGGTTGAATGCAGCTCGGATGTCTGAAAAGGCGACAACGGTAAGCTGGCGATAAAGGTGGCTCTGCTTGATGAGTTGGTGGAGAGTAAAGATTTGATCCACACATCCACGAGGGTGGAAACCAGCTTGTTTCTCAGGGAAGTGTAGTTTTCGAGTCAGTGTTAGTCTGCCTATTAGTATGGATGTTAGCACTTTGGAAACGACGGAAGATAAACTGATTCCTCTGTGATTGGCGCATGAGGTAGGATTACCATTTTTGAAGATGAGTACGATAATCGATTTTATCAAAGAGGATGGAACCTTTACTTTATACTAGATCATGGAGAACATAGCTGTTAAACGGTTGACAAATGCATCACTGTACTTGAACAGCTCCGGAGGAAGTCCGTCTGAGCCAGTAATTTGCATCACTTCAGGTGACGAACCTCAAGACCTTCAATTCGGTAGGTGATTCCAGTGAAACGCTCCAACGTCACAGGTTGGCCTGCTTGTTTGACAGGAGGAAGGAGCAGGATGACTGAATAGAGAGTGGAAGTGCTCAGCCCAGCGATCCATGCGACTGCGCAAATTATTGGTTGGTGGTCCATCAACTAGGCACAGCTTCACTAACGCAGCTTTCTGTGGCCAGTGGTCCGAATGATTTGGAAAAACTTGGGAAAATTTCCAGAGGGAGCTGTTGTCTCTAAATCCAAAGTGCGCTGAGACCACCAAGTTTCGCGATCGTTACGCAGGCTTTGCTTGAGTTTTTGGCTGAGATTGCGGCGGACTTCACCACAGCTTGAATCAGCTGGGATGGCTCGGCGACGGCCAAATAATTCCCAAGAACGAGCAGATATCCTGCCTCTCATAAGACGCCCAGCGACTCCATAGTATGATTGATGGAAAGAAAGCAACGCCTTCTGCCAGAAATTCCAGTGGTGTTCGACATCTGTAGGTGGAGCACTAACGAGCAGATCTGATAAGGAGGATTGACAGGACAGTTTAATGGAGAGGTCAGCTAGCCTGTTGGTATCCAGCGTACGGTGCTTAGGTTTCGAGGAACCACCAAAGCGCATACAGATGTCCGCACAGACCAGAGCGTGATCTGAGTCGAGGTATGCAGAAATGATCGATCTGCAAAGCCACATACCACCCCGCCACCTGAAAGTGATTGCTATGTGACCAATTTGTGACAACCCTTCTGTTGGCGAAGGGGGATGCCAAGTGGAGGCGCGTCTTCTCGAATACTCGCGAGTCTATTGTCCTCCTTAGTTATCAGAGCGACCCTCATCAAGAACATGACGGCCACCGAGATGACCTTCAAATGGCAGCAGGCAACCGAACTGTGCATTGAGGTCTCTAGCAAGAACGACGACAACAGAACTTTTGGCCTTAAGCAAACAGTGGTGAAGACCGCAATAAAACTCGTCCTTAACTGATGCACAACTGCAGTTGGTCGGAGCGTATACCGAAACTACAAACAAATCGCGTCTTTCTGTACAATGCCTATTGATCCTGCGTGAGCCTTGAAGTCGAACCACACACAATCGGCTATCGATCGCAAACAAATCGAGCAGCAAAGCCTCAGCTGTCACACAATGCAATGCTACTACCAGTCAAACCAACTGCATCAGCATGTGTCACCAGACAAATGCAGGGAATAGTTGGTCCCGAGATCAGCGTGGCACATCAACTTAACTACGGTATTGGAGTCCTGTAACCGAGTCACAGAAAGACAACAGATATCAACAGCGAGGGACTCCAAGATGAGCGCTACGCCGGCTTGTTGTCTGATCTGCATAAGGATCCTAACGTTGAAGGCTTCCAGCCGAAACAGAGGATATGTCCGAAAGCAGACCACTGGTCGGACTAATTGAACATGGGTGAGACTGCCATCAGAGGTAGATTCAAAGGAATTATTGACGAAGGTAAGATTAGCGTGTGATAGTGATGCATAAGTAGTGAGGGTCGCAGGAGCCGGAGTGAACGACATAGTAATAGTGGTTGCGGCATCAATGGTTTTGTAAGTGGGCGAGGTAGTACCCGATGTCGCAAGCTAATGTAGGGAGTTGTTTTAGGGGACACCACCCTGAACATTTGGTTGAATAGCCTATCCGCAAGGCAGAAGAGCGAATTCAGGAAGTCGGGCACATTGGAAGCCAGTGACCTAATACTCAGCTCATACGACTTTCGTTTGGAGGATTGTTAAACAGGGACGCAATTCTTTCCAATTTTCAGCTTTAGATTGCTGGAATACAATAGTCAATCAAAATAAAACAAGGAGCAGTAACTTTTTAGTGGAGAGTCACATCCGCCACGTCACCGTGTTGTTAAACAGATATAGTTAGGCAGCACCAATAGCGTCGCGATGGAAAGGAATGGAAATTTACACGGCGGCAGAATGTCATCCAGTACAACCGAACTAGTTTGTAGTGGCGCAGGTTTCAACAATAAATATGAATTTGATCAAGTTAATGACGAACAATGCAAGATGGTATCATTTCGTGTTCGCTGAAGCCGATCCTACTAACAGGATTTATTTATTTGGTTATCAATAAAGGCGTCATAAGAATGAGAATATCAGATTACGGTTAAATAAACCACAATTGTGGAAATGGTGTCAGCTGAGACTGGTAATCTGAAAGTGATAATCTGAAGTGCGATAATCAAGAGCTGGCTAACAAGAAGGGTTTCGTTTGACTAGCGTTTCGAGAAAAGAGCAAACTCACATAAAAAATGTCATCCACTCCACCAAGCATTTTCATGAGCTTTTCATCATCATTTACAATTGCTGGCACCTCTATGGCGAAAAACTCGCTGGGCGGAACTTTACAAGTCATGGAAAGGGGTATGGGTATGTCTTGAATGCAATGCCACTGCAGAGCGAAGAACCCAGAGCCGGCGACAAGCCAATTAGATGAGGATAAAGATATCCCATAAAGCGCACAATGAAGCCGTGAATAGACGGCAACCTGCGCTAACGAAGAATTCAAGTAACTGCTGAAAAGAGAGGATGGAACATAATGTCAGAAACATCAGACTACTATATATTATAGATAGCAATCAAGAAAATGGGTGTGACGTTGTGAGTTGAGGTAACTAGATTTGACGAAACTAATTTGTCTGCCTTCGTGATTCATCGGGTTACGCTGGGTAGCACATTTTAAGTAGCTTTCTGTTTTTCTGCCGTTCGACGTTATCGTACCCAAGTTAGGCTGCAACAAAAGCTGAGTTTACAACTACCATCAACTGTGTAAGCAAATCGGCCGTCAAGTCAGTGGTACAATTTCGTACTGAGTTTACATACGTTCGTCACGTAGCCTAAAATATCACACGCATGATATCAAATCCGAGGGCGCAGGTTCAAGTCTGCTTAGCGTAACGGGCGACCCTCGCAGTATCCGTAGCGCAAACGCGACTGTTGGTTGCGTGGAAGCAAAACGCTGGTGCTGCGTACCAGCGCACTGCTGATACTATTTACATATATATATATATATATATATATATATATATATATATATATATATATATATATATATATATATATATATATATATATATATATATATAAATGCCCCATGCTGAGGCTGATGTCGCATTCATGATTCTTCTTCACCGCAGTTGGGCTAAACCAACTTACACTTAAACTAGGTCTTTTGATGTGGATAAAATTCGTTACATCTTATTTGGTTTGTTCTGCGTACTTGATAATCTTCTCCCAACTTACACACGTCGCTCATGCAAATTGTGGCAAACTTGCGTAATGTTATTGCGTGGTACTTTTAAAAAACCTTCGGAGATTTTGTACTTATCGCGTATCCACACTTTACCAATTTCTTCCATATGCTCATTTAGCGAGTATCTGTCGTCATATGCGTTTACTTTATTTGATATCGGCATTCCGAAAGATTTGCTGTTGTTTGACATCCCGGTGCGGCTGCGCTTGATGTGCATGTTGACAAGGTGCCTACCTTCTGTTACCCACTACCTCGTCCATGCTGGCTCCAGGAGACAGTTGGTCGTCGCTGGAGGGGACAGGGTGCACGGTCCTTGTGGTTGTGCTAGGCTCGAAGAGTGGTTTCATGCACTCAGTGTGGAGTGGACTACGGTCCAGCCACCGCTTTGTGTGTCACTGATCTCCCAAATACAGCGTGCTTGTGTTTGCCTGTGAAGGAGTGTGGGCCGGCTCCGTTGATGAAACGTGGCTCCCATCCACATGCCTCCCGGTCTTATTCCTTCGGGTTTACACTGGATATGAGGTGTGTAGATGGAGCTGTGGGTGGTGCAGCGCAAGTCACCCATGGCCCCTCTGTAGGCGAAGGCGTCCTGTGGCTGGCCACAGTGACAGGCAAATCCGAAACCGGATGCCGCCAACCATATGCGCCGAAGTGCCACTTGGCGTCCTCCTGTAGCTAGCCGGCGATGGATCCAAATTGGCTGGCTAGCCGAACAACCTCCTCGTGGTGTCAGCTTAGTGGTTCGGGTAACTCCCGTTTCAGCAAATGGTTCGGCGGCAGTGTTCCGGGATGTGGTGGGATTTCGCCTGGCAAGCGTTCTCCAATTAAAATACCACAGGTATCCCTTTAACAACACTGTGACGTGGTGGATGTGACTCGCCACTAAATAAAGTCACTGCCTCTCCCCTTTTCCGCAGGACCATTCACACATCACGAACGTCATCCGATTCAAAGCGTTCCATTGATTCCCCCCTTTGATGGCGAACACAACAAACAAAAGCACACACAGAGTCACATTTACCTACTCACACAACATGGCCCCCTTCCAAATACACAGTTAAACATACTTTAACATGTCAACACACACATTCCTATGCTATTTGTCAAAATGTACTAAGTTGTGCAATTAACGACCATCCATGTCTGTATTACCATGATCACGCCTTGATGGTGTTCCTCGCAACGACGAGAATAAATTATTTATTTATTTAATTGACCACATAGACAAAAGTTACAGGTAGCGTTGTTCCCTCCTGGATTGCCGCTCGTACTGGAGTACCTGCGTCGACTCTGATCATGCCTTGGTACTCTATCGTTTTTCCATGAACTTTACCGGAAGGTGCACCAAGCGTCGCCAATTGGCAACTGAGAAATTGACTCAGCCATCGGTCAGGCAAGCCCATCAAGACGCATTGCATACCGAACTTTCGCTGTATTCTTCTTATGACACTGAGCTTCAGTGGAATAGGATCTCGGCGGCCATGCACGACGCAGGAGCATCTGCTTGTGGCACTATCAATCGTCCCCGCATCAGTCACTGGATATCCGAGAGGTCAGTGAACCTGTAGGAATCTAGAAGACAACTCCCGGCTAGCTCTGAACATAATGTGACATGTTGGGGTCCGAAAGACGATGAACACGTTTGGTTGGACACACTTGCCGATATGGCTAGGAGTCGACCTCAGTGGCGTTCGTGCCGTGAGTTTCTTTGTCCCACCCCATCCCTCTTAGCCTCCCCCTCCAATCACGATCTCATTAGTTAGCCATATAAAATTTTGCACAGTAATATTTTTTGGTGCACAGCAACCGGATGGTAGCTTACCGGAACGATGCCCATCCGTTACCGGTAGCTCAGCCAACTTGCACCAGTTACCTTTTTTTCTCCTTTTTCTATGTATTACGGCACATTAGCTGAGGTGTTCCCCATCTCCAGCTAACGTGTAGTATGATGATATGATGATGAATGTGACCTGTCCGGGAGAAAGCAAGAATTGCCTTGGAAATCCACTATTTTAGCGATTAATCGATTATTAACGATTATCGCATCGATTTCGAACGTTCCGGAACGTTCTTCTTCTGCACGTGATTAAAAACCACCTGACACCTCGGCAAAAGATATGGGGAACCACGAACTTTGGTAGTTGACCTTAAACTTCCAGAAGTCGAAGGTCAGTAGAGACCTATAAATACAGCCACGGTCCGCAGCCGTTAAACAGTGTTCGTTGACGGCAATTAATACGTTATTTTGGCAAGGTTATTGGCGTTTTGCTTTTTTCCTTCGGTAGGGCTAGAAGTTTGTGGAGTAGTGAATTGTTATTTTTGGAATTGCGTCTAGTGAGAAGATTATAACAAATGGCGACGGAGAAAATTGGAAATGTGATGAATTTTTCCGCTGAACAATTTCAAAAGCTGCTTTTTCAACAGCAAGCTCCAATGGAAACACAAATGAAAATGATTGAAAATCTGACACAGTGTTTGAGTTTGCAGACAACAGGAGCAGCGACGCGGGACATGCAGGCGAGTTCTGTTGATCTTCTCACGAACGCCATCACTGAATTCAATTATTGTGCGGATTCTGCATGCACCTTCGAAGCGTGGTTCAAACGCTGGGAAGACGTGTTCCAGACGGACTTCAATCGTCAAGAAGACTCCTGGAAGGTGCGACTGCTACTCCGCAAGCTCGGAATAAGTGAACATTCCAGGTTCATAGACCACACTTTGCCCAAACAGCCGAAGGATCTGACTTTTGACGAAGTAAGGTCGCAGCTGAAGGAAATTTTTCGTGAGTCGGTATCTTTGTTTAGTATTCGCTATCAATGCTTAAAAATTGTCAAACAGGAAGCGAACGATTTTGGGGCCTTAGCAGACATGATTAACCGTGAGTGTGAACGATTCAAACTATGCTCTTTAACGGACGATCAGTTTAAGTGTCTCATTTTCGTCAGCGCTCTACAATCGCCCAGTGATGCTGAGATCCGCAAGCGGCTTTTAGCTAAGCTGGAGCAGGATCCTGACCTGATACTGAAGGCCCTCGTAAGCGAATGCAAACGGCTGCTCACTCTAAAACACGACACTGCCATGGTCGAACGCAATGGTCTCGCACCACCAGATACCGTGCAACTCGTGAAAAAGGCCAAGACCGCCAACGCAAGCAAACCCTACAAGAGGCCTACGAAGAAACCGCACACAGCATGCTGGTCATGCGGCGAATGGCAGTTCGCCCGCTTTTGTTCCTTCAAACATCATATTTGTCAAACCAGCCATAAGCGTGGGCATAAAGAGGAATGCTGCAGTCAGGTCCAGTCGAAGAAAGTGCAGAAGTCTTATCAAAAGTGGAATTCTAGAAAGGATGGTGTCGAGACTCTGTCCATAGTTGCCGCATTCCAAAGCAAGTGTAAACCGAGGCGACGATTTATCAGTGTGTTGATCAATGAGATCTCAACGAAACTGCAGTTTGACACGGCCTTGGACATCACAATTATTTCCAGGAGCACATGGAAGCACATAAAGAGGCCGAAGATGGTCGACTCCCAGAAAGTTGCACATAATGCACCCGGCGGTGTGTGAAACTTAGTGGGCGAACTTACTTGCACGATCGCTTTCCAAGGTGTGGAAAAGTCGGGAACATGTTATATTTCAGACCGGCCGAAGTTGAATCTTCGTTGTCTCGACTGGATTGAAAGTCGAATCTCCTCGATGTTCCCTTGAATCAGATCTGCAACCGAGTTCGAGCAAGTCCAGACCCATCAACAAACTCCGTCGAAGACATGACACGTAACCTGAAGAGCAAATTTGCCTCTGTCTTTCTGGATGGCTTGGGCCATTGTACAAAATTCAAAGCGACACTGAACTTGCGACCAGGTGCTAAACCAGTGTTCAAAGCTAAAAGACCGGTACCATACGCAGCCATGTCAACCGTTGAACAAGAAATCGGTCGACTGAAACGTGACGCAGTCATCACAGCCATCAACTACTCATCATGGGCCTCACCTATTGTCGCAGTGAAGGAAGCAAATGGCAAGGTACGCGTTTGCGCTGACTTTTCAACTGGCCTCAACGCCGCGCTGGACGACCACAAGTACCCATTACCTGTACCGGAGGATATCTTTGCAAAGTTGAATGGTGGTAAGTACTTTGCTAAGCTTGATCTATCCGATGCCTATCTGCAAGTGGATGTTGACGATGTCTCGAGGGAGTTGTTGCCGATCAACACTCATCGTGGGCTATTCCAATACAACCGCTTGCCATTTGGTGTGAAAACGGC